TGTTGGGCCAGTTTTGCTTCTGAGAGCAGCTCTACTTTTGGATAACTTAGTCTTATCTATTTCATTTCACACCTGTAAGGTAAATCCCATAAGAGAAGTCTGAGCTATAGTCTCTCACTCTCAATACTTACATGTATTTAGCTTTAGTTTTCAAGGTGAATCCCTAGCCAAAATATTTCCTGCTGCCAAAAAGAGAGAAGTATCTTTGTTTTAAGCGAACTTACTTGCAGTGGCCACTCTTTGGTAGTGATCTTACTGAACAAGGCATCCTTCCTGTACCTTTCCAGAGAACTAAGTTTACCATGAAAGTCATTAACTTCTTGTCTCTTTTAAAAACTTTCATTTGGGGTGCTTGGCTGGCTCAGTCGTTAAGCGTCTGCCTTCAGCTCAGGTCATGATCCCAGGGTCCTTGGATTGGGCCCCACATCGGGCTCCCTGCTTCTCCCTTTCCCGCTTCCCCTGCTTGTGTTCTCTCTCTCGCTGTGTCTGTCTCTGTCAAATAAATAAATAAAATCTTAAAAAAAAACTTTTATGTTTTTCCCCGCATCCAGTAAGACTACACTACATAGTTCTATCATGTTTATGGTGATGAATTTTATATAACAAATTGGGCCATGGGTTGCCCAGATGTTTGATCAAACATTATTTTGTGTGTTTCTTTGAGGGTGTTTAGCATTTGAATTGATAGATTGAGTAAAGAAGATTGCCCTCCTTAATGTGGGTGGGCTTCATATTCTACTGGGCTGAAGGCCTCAGTAGAACAAAAAGACTGACCTTGCCCTGAGTAAGAGAGAATTCTTCCTGATTTTGGACTGGGACAGTAGTCTTTTCTTGCCTTTGCAAACTGAAACACCAGCTCTTGCTGAGTCTTGAGCCTTCCAGTCTTTCAACTAGTATGACAACATTGGCTCTCCTGGGTCTCAAGCCTTTGGACTCAGACTGGAACTAAACTTTTGGCTCCCCGGAGTCTCCATCTTGCTGACTTACCCTCCAAATCTTGGGAATTTTCAGCTTCCATAATCACGTGAGCCAGTTTCTTATAATAAATCTCTTTATGTGTATATACCTGCTTCATGTTGGTTCGAGATTTCTCTTTGGAGAACCCTAATATAAGATGAGCTGCTCAAGCCAAGTATATAATCTGTGATTTCTGTGCATGTTAGCCCACAATGGATCCCTGTCTTCTGCCATCATTCTTTGAGCAATTTTTAAATACTTGTTTCTGAATACTTACCTCCTGTGTCAGGAACTATAGATTACAAAGAAATGAGGCACGTTCTTATTCAAAGACCAAAGTCCAGTGTACACAAATGACTAGAAACTGTTTGTATGGAGTCCCACACACACTGCCGTTGTGTAGGGAAGTTGTTTTCAGTGGGAAACAACCATATCTTGTGGTTTGCTGAGGTGGAGACGCCATTTTGGCTCCCCTTAGTGAAATATTGGTTGCTGTCTTTCCCCTGCATTCTGTGACAGAATAGACACCGCCTGGGTTTGCATCTGTCCTCTTCAGTTTCTAGTTGTGTGACCTTGGGCAAATTAATGTTTGTACATTTTGTTAAATGTACAAAAGGAATAAAAAGAATACCTACATCGTAGCATTTTTATAAGATCAGATAGGATAGTATTTGTAAAGGATTTAAAACAGTGCCTGCCACCTACCCTATTTTATCAAATCTAAGATGTCATCAGTTGTGAGATACCCTGCGATTTTGTGTATTTCTAAGAAAAGCATTGCCAATTACAATAAGATACTATCAGTTGTGAGACCTGAAATGTTTAAAGATGAGAAAAACATTGTATCTTAAAAATCAATGAGGTATCATAGTCCGTGTTATATAAGTGAATAAAATCCTAGACTACACAAGTTGATTATTCAAAGACAAATTTGAGTAGGAAAAAAAAATCTGTTTGCATTTGTGGATGGTTATCTAAATAGCAAAATTCTAATCCAACTATAATATTAAATATCCCAATCACTTCTCAACTATGCTGTTACTAAAATGCATTTCTTTTATTTTCTTAGTGAGGTTTAGTGCTGCCTTCATGACTCTCAGGGTCTTTGAAAATCTAATTAATGCAGGATGGCTGTTATTTCCACTGAATATTTGCCCCCCCCATTCTGATGTTAAACCACTAACCCCCAAATATGAAAACATTTGGAGACAGAGACTGTGAAGAGGAAATCAAGGTTAAATGAGGTCATATGGGTATGGGTGTGGCCCTAATCTGGGAGAGCCAGTGTTTTTATGAAAAAAAAAAAAAAGACAGCAGAGCACTCTGTCCCTGCCCCCTTCCGCTTGTTGCAAGCTGCAAAGAATGCCCTCACCTGAATGCCCTCAACTGAATTGGCCAGGACCTTGATCTGTTGTTTAAGCCACCCAGCCTGTGGTCCTTTGTTGTGGCCGCTGAGCGAACTGTGACAGTGGCCAACAGGGGAAGGCACTGTTGGAGGACTGGGGATGAATTTACCCTGCTCCCCCCCCACCCCCACATGGCTAGTCATCCAGGGAACGTTTGACCTGAAGGTGCTTACTTGCAGTTGGAAACCAGAGACAGGGTCTCCTCTTGAACTCTTCCCAGTCCTTGCTGTTCTGCTTACTCAGCACTAAGTGCCCACCCTACTTTCCCGACATTGTAATTACAATTTATTTTTATTTATTTTTTACAATTGTATGCAACTACCTTTGGGAAATCAGCATTCTTTTTTTTTAAAGATTTTATTTATTTGACAGACACAGCAAGAGAGGGAACACAAGCAGGGGGAGTGGGAGAGGGAGAAGCAGGCTTCCCGCTGAGCAGGGAGCCCAAGGGGGGGCTCAATCCCAGGACCTGGGGATCATGACCTGAGCCGAAGGCAGACGCTTAACAACTGAGCCACCCAGGTGCCCTGGAAATCAGCATTCTTGTGTACATTTAATTGGGTTTATAGTTTTAATCACTTTATGCTTTCTTCTGTAGTAGATGGAAAACTTTCAGGATGGTGGCTTGATTCTCTGGGTACTGGTTCTGCTTTTATGTGTTTTACAAATGAAATTTTGCCTTAGTATTTGTTCTTGCCAGTGATTGAATTTTGCTTCCACCCAGAGTTAACATAGAAAAAAGGGCTAGACATTTTTCAGAATAATATAGAGGTTGTTTTGTGGAAGGGCTTGTTTTATCGATTAAAAATATTCCATAATTCAGATTTTTAAGCTAGTTTTGTGATTTGAAGTACATGCACCCACCAACAGAAACCAAGCAAAGCATTAGCCCCTGGGAATCTTTGGGGAAACCTGTCTTAATGAGTAGATGAGATTGCTTGTAATTCACAGAACAATTTATATGTAAATAGTATATGTGAAAATTAAGGGTGCTTGAAAAGGTTGTCTTTTACTGATAATTTCTAAACATTGCCTACACAACCTTGTTTACATAGTTTTTATCAGAGCAGAGGTAAGTCTCTCCAATCCTGCTATAGCCAGAGATGATAATTAGTTATCTATCACTGTGTAGCAAATTAGCCCAATTCTTAGAAGCTTAAAACAGTCAACATATATAACTTCACACAGTCTGTCAGCATCTGAAATCTGGGAGTGTCTTAGCTGGGTGGTCCTGCCTCAGGGTTATCAGACTGAATTTAAGCTGTGGGCTGGGGTTGGAGTCTTTGAAGACTCTACCAGGGCTATTGGACCCACTGAGGGACATTCTACAAAATAACTGGCATGTATTCTTGACAGATTTCAAGGTTAAGAAAGATCAAGGCTAAAAAATACTTTCTGACTAAAGAAGGCTAAAGAAATGTGACAACTAAATACAATGTAGGTCCCTGAGTTGGATCCTGAACAAGGGGAATAAAGGCTAGAAAAGACATTATTAGGACAACTGGCAAAACTGCAGATCATGTAATAGCATCGTGTAAATAGCATTGTATCAGTGTCAAATGTCCTGATTTTGGTAATTATGTAAGAGACTGTTTTTATTCTTAGGAAATAACCACTGAAGTGTTACTGAAGGGTCAGGGGGTATCATGTTAAGTTACTCTCAAATGGCTCAGAAAGGTATGAGAAAGAGAGTGAATGACAAGACAAAGAGGGTCACATGTTAACAATAGCGAATCTGGATAAAAGGTCTTAGTTATTGCTGCTGTGACAAATCACCACCAATTTAGTGGCTTGTTTCTGTAGGTCAGAAGTCTGGCACAGGGTAGCTGGATTCTCTGCTCAGAGTCTGACCTCTGGGTTAAAATCAAGGTATCAGCAGGCCTGCATTCATTTATGGAAGCTCTGGAGAAGAATCTGCTTGCACATGTATTCAGTTTGTTGGCTAAACTCAGTTCCTTGTGGGTGTAGGACTGAAGTCACCATTTCCTTGCCTTTTGAACCCCGGATCTTTAAGCCAGCAGTGATGCTTTGAGTCCTTCTCATGTTTTCAATCTGACTTCCCCTTCTGCTCTCTCTCTCTGATTTTAAGAGCTCATGTGAGCACATTAGCTCAAGTTCCTTAAGATCAACCAGTTAGTAATTTAATTATTTTTATTTTACTTTTTGAAGATTTTATTTATTTATTAGAGAGAGAGAGTGTGCAAGCACAAGCAGGGAGAGAAAGGGAGAAGCAGATTCTCTGCTGAGCACAGAGCCTGATGCTGGGCTTGATCCCAGGCACCTGGGATCATGACCTGAGCTGAAGGCAGATACTTAACCGACTGAGCCACTCAGGAATCCCCCAGTTAGTGATTTAAATTATATCCGCAAAATCTGTTTTGCCAGGTAAGTAACATAATGGGTGTGGTACCAGGGGTTGAAGGTCCTGGGGGCTGAATTTCTGTCTACCACAGGTTCATAGGAATTTTTTGCACTATTCTTAACAACTTTATAAATATTTGAAATGACATCCAAACAAAAAGTTACAAATATTCTTAAGCATGGTGCAGGAAGCTGGAAAATGCGATCATGGTATCGTTCACATACTTTGTAGTTTCATTCTTTTCCTAACAGCACTGGGTCTGTTTTATCCATCAGGTCACCACCAAATCAAGCAAGGGACCTGTGAGGTGGTCGCTGTCCACAGGTGCTGTAACAAGAACCGCATAGAAGAGCGATCACAAACAGTCAAGTGCTCCTGCTTCCCAGGGCAGGTTGCCGGCACAACGCGGGCTCAGCCTTCTTGTGTTGAAGGTAAGACCTTTCTGGTCAGTTTCTCTACTCTTGCAAAAGTACGTAAAACCACCAACAACCTCCTTTACTGTCTTTGCAACTCAAAGAAAACTAGGCTGCTTCCAGGTTAGCGTTGCTCCAAAAGTGAACATCATTGTAACTCCACACATTGCTTGGTGCATCAGGTAAGTTATTAATGATATTTCTCAAGGGGTCCTGATGAGGGAGTTCTGTCACTAGACAATCAGGAAGATATGCTTTGATTTTTTTTTCCTTCCCCAGCTGTCTTTCCAAATCTTATCCATCAAAGCACTTGCTTCCCTAGATACACTTTTCTCCCTGATTTCAAGCTCTCAATTCAAGAGCGATTAGCAGCTTATTTTTCCTCACCTCATTTTTAATGTTACAGACTGATACTCTCTTTATTTCTCGTTTACTATCTTAATAAACATTTATAAAACATCTCCTTTGGAGCAACTTCCCTGAGAACAGTTTGGGATCACATGTCATTTATTTGTTGTCCCCAAATCCCCTCGCAGAGTACTGTGCCAATGGGTTTTTTAAAAAATGAATGAATGTTGATGGGTTGTAGGTAGAGGCCTGGGATTGATTCCTTTTGATGCCTCTGGTGCACACACCTTGTTAGAAACAAGTTATCAGTCCCCAGGGGAAGAGATACATGAGGTTAAGCCTTGTAGCACTTTCTCCACAGTGGCATGAAAACTGCCTAAACATGAATGCTTCCTGTCTTATTTGATGCATGTCTAAAAGTCAGCCATTAGAATGAACATATGCATTCTTAACTCCACAATCACACAGTCAAGAATAGTAATTGACCCATATCCCGCCTCCCTGACCAAACACAGGCACAAATTTATGGTCTGTATGGTCACTAGTGGTATGTATCACTGTGAAAGCTGGAAAGTGAATATGGCCAAGTTACCATCTACAGTTCCTCACAGAAACCCTGGGGGCCGAATGCATTGCTGAATTCAGATTTTTTAAAGGTAGCATAGTACATACAGCAACTGTTTTCTCACAAACCTAATGTCTTTTCCAGTTGTACCCCATAGTCACAGGTGCTAATATTTCTACAATGAAATATGTAGAATATTCTTGCAGAATGGGATAGGGCAAGAATTAGAAGCTCATGTTAAATCAGGTTTTGCCACCATCGTACAGAAGTCCTGTCCATTTTCAGAGCTTTTTGGATTTGGGGATCACAGATAAAGGATTGTGGATCTATAAAAAAAGATGAAGATTTTTAGGATTAAAAAGAGACTTTTTTTTTAAAGATTTTATTTATTTGACAGAGAGAGAGAGAGAGAGAGAGCGCACACAAGCAGAGGGAGGAGCGGAGAGAGAAGCAGAGGGAGAAGCAGACTCCCCGCTGAGCAGGGAGCCCAATGGGGCTCAATCTGAGAACCCTGGGGATCCTGACCTGAGCCAAACACAGACTCTTAACTGACTGAGCCACCCAGGTGTCCCAAAAAAAGACATTTCAAAGAACTGTGCTAAGTTCCTATCTCTCCAGCTGGGACAGCTGAGCATATTTATTTCCTCCATCAATTGAATCCAAACCACACCTTTTTGTCCCCTTGGTCTGTCTCAGATTCTCTTTGTTGCCATCACTCGCAGTCCAGGGGCTCACATTACATTCTGCCATGCTTACCACTCCGGTCTCCCATTCTCTACCCTGAGCTTTCTACAGAAGCAGAACTCATCATGTCACTGACGTATTTAAAACCACCCTTCAGTGACTTCCCACCATCTTTAAAATAAAATCCAAGTTCTTTACCATGGCTTATGAAGCCTTGCATAGTTTTGACTCTGTCTCCCTCCTCTTTCAACTACACTACCCCCGTCCAAGTGGGGGCATTTACATTTTTTAGATCTCCACACTCCTACCTTTATCCTTTGCCTGAATCATTGCCGTCTTCCCCACAATACATATTTTGTCTACTTGATTCCTATTTTCCTTCCATATCTGCTGTATGCTCTTGTATCTCCCTGTACTTCTAGTTCATGACCTGTATGCCATTATGTTTTAAGATCTTTCTGAATGTGTGCCTTCCCATTAGTCTGTAGGTTGCTTAAGGATGGAAACTGAGTCTCTTATTTCTCCCCACCCACCCCACACCCCAACTGTCTGGTCCATGAATGACTTTGAGCACACGGGAGAACTTATTCATTTTCAGTAATCACAGATTGCTTTCAAATTCATGGTATCAGCTGTGTTTGCTTGCTCTGTGGATTTTAAACTTTTTCAAGAACTTAAGACCTGACGAATTATAAACTTTCTACTCTATCCATCATAGAATCTTTAGATATAAAAAGTCTTACACATTTATCTCAGAGCACTTTTATCAGCATCTGGAAAGTATAGATGGTGTGGCAATTAAATTTACTATCTTTCTCTTAGTAAAGAAAATATTAATACCTTATCCTCCAGTAGCTTGTTTTAATTTTTATATACATTTATTATGTGGTCGAAATCCCCTTTGGGCACCACTGTAAGAATAACTGCATATCTGTTTGGTCAATCCATTTGTTTTTGTATATTTGTGTATTTAAGATAGGTCTCTAGAAAATGTGGTACATTTCAATATGAATGTGTTTTACCTAAATGGTATCACATTGTATATTTCTTAATCCAACCAGCTATCAATATTAAGTTGTGGAGATCTTTGTGTGCTAATACATACTGACCTATTGTGTTTATTTTTTTAATTGCTCCATAACATTCCATTATACGTGTGGATAGATTATAATTTGTTTAGCCATTCCTTTACTGAAGGACATTTTAGTTGTGTCTGTGTCATAACAGACTCCTAGGCTAACTAAATGATTTTCTTAGTGTTATAGGATCAGTAAGTGATAGAGATCAATGATTTAATGTCTGAGCAGAGTCTGTGCAGTGGAAGGTTCTGTGATGATGTACATATTCTTTCAAAATATTCTTAGCTCTATGTGTTGATGCCCATGTGCCCAGTATAATTGGTAACCACTAACCACATGGGGCTAATGAGCAGTCGAGATGTGCCTGGTATGAATTTAAATTTAAATGGGAATTTAAGACTAAAATCTTCTCTGTCAGACGGTGCAGGATCACCTTTATGTACCTATGTGACTTATGAGTACTACATTTGTAGCCAGAGAATACCCAAACTCTGAAGGATAGGCTTGTGATTCTATCTTAATATTTGTATCCCCTGCACCTAGCAGAGCCTGGCAAACAGTTGGTGTTCAATAAATGTTTGTTGGATCAAAGTCAGAGGAGGTGTGGGAAGTTGTCATTTAGACTCTAGTTAGGATGTATATCTGTTTTCATATCCCCTTTGATCTTCTATTCCTTATCCGAATGTTTCCATTAGGGCTTTTTAGCTTTATCCCATAATCATCTTTATCCCGTAATAATTATGCATTATCATGCTGCTAGTTGGCTTGTGGAAAGACCTAGTCTCTGCTGGTAAGTTCCTCTTATCTTATTTGTCAATAAGAATGTGGAGAGGATCTAAAATATAACATTCACTTGATTTACATTTAAATTAAAACAAAGGCGAGAAGACATTGGAGCGGGGCACTAATTAATGTTGGCATAGAAAGTGGAATATCCTTATGCGTTTCTGCTAATCCACAGCAGAGATACTTATCTAGTGTTTTCATTGCTTTTCCATAAAAATCATAGCTTTTATTAGTTAAAAAGGGAGAATAATTAGTTGGTTTTTTTCCTCCAATTTTTTTGGATATAATTAACTTATAAAGTCCTCCTGTATTATGGAAATGTGTCTGTACTCCACATTTGGGATTTGGGAGGAGGGGTGGGGAAGTACTTGACTAAAGCTGCGGTTACTTGGGTCCTACAACAGACAATTGTGTAGCTGGTAAGCACGTTCCCTTTTGAATCTTCGACTGGTATATATACAAGGCTGGTTAGTGACAGGAACTGTATTCTCCACATTTATCAAAATACCAGGCTATAGAGATAATGCTGAATGGTTTATGATAAAACGAGATAAATGCGTAGTATGATGAAGCTTCATTTATTTTGTTAGAGTGAACGCTTTCTAAACATTGGGTTTAAAAAAGTGATAAAAGCTGAGGAATGGGAGGCAGCTGCTTTTTAAAGCTATTTGTTTTCTTTGGCTGATGGCTGAATTTGTGTTCTGAGATGTCAGAAATCACTTAGTGAAGGCCGAGAATTCCCATTCGTACAGCAGACAACTGATGTGGTTTTTATGGACTGTGTGATGAGGTATGGAGTCGGTCTTCAAGATGGGGTTTCACAGAGTTGTGTGACTGGGGGTGTTCTCTGTGCCACTTGCAAGATCAGGTGTTTTTCAGAGCTTTTCCCCGTGGCAGTCAGGTGAATGACAGAGAAGTGTACTTTGCAAAAGCACTGGGGGAGGTGGAAGGATGCACCTTGCATTTGTTGGTTCATGGAGTTTTAATGTAGCACATTGTGCCCGGCATGTCCTAGGTGCTGGGGGATAGGATGCTAATTAGACTCAGGTCTTGCTTTCCCACAACAAACTCGAGAAAATGAAGGTACTTGAAGAGAGAGCAGAGAAGCGGTCAGGGACAGTGTCCCATGAGAAGCAGTGGATCTGGTTTTACCAGGCAGGAGGGAACTAAGTGGTACAGCAGGTAAAGCGTGTGCCGACGAGTAGGGGCAAGCATGAGAATGAGAAATGTCTCCCTCGGGCTCTGAAATGGTCGAAGACAAGGCTGGAGATGTAGACAGAGCCTTTGCTCTTAGAGACTTTCCATCAACTCAGATTGTAGGATTAATTCCTGTGTTCTGGGAATTTGTATTCAAGGAATAGTGGATGAAGGAGAGTAGGCCAGTAAGAAAGGGTATTAAAGTGCTATCAGCAAAGTTCATATCCAATCCCAGAAGATTCCAGAAAAGGAAAAATGGGATCTCTGAATTTGCCAGGTCAGGTAGTTTGTCAGCATAGGTTTCAGGGTGAGCCCTGGAGTAGCCAGGATTTGTGTGTGGGAGAGAGAACAGTGAGACTGAGCCAGAGAAAGTGAGATTCAGAGAGAGAATATGCACATTCTCGCCTTGTAGGATTGCCCACAATGGAGGCTCCAGGAGGGAAGAGAAGGAATAGAGGTGGTATTGTGTTTACCATGTATTAAGGATTATGAGGTCTGTTGAAGTAACTCAGCCTCTCATCTGGGGCTGAGTACATCCCAATGTACATGACTGTAGATTAAGTTTTTCTTAATGAAGATTTATTTATTTGAGAGAGAGAGGAGAGAGAGAGAATGAACAGTGGGGAGGGACAGCGGGGGAGAGAGAGGGACAAGCAGGCTCCCCGCTGAACAGAGAGCCTGATGCAGGGCTCGATCCCAGGACCCTGAGATCATGACCTGAGCCGAAGGCAGACGCCTAACCAACTGAGCCCCCCAGGTGCCCCGATTAATGTTTCTTAACCAGGGGTGATTTTGGCCACCCTAGGGATGTTTGACGACGTCTGGAACCACTTCGGGTTGTTAAACTGGGGGAGAGGGTGCTACTGGCATCTAAAGGGTAGAGGCTTAAGATGCTAGTCACTATGGTACAAGGTGCACTATATACTCCTACAATCAAGAATTACCCAGCCTCTAAAGTGCTAAGATCAAGAAACTCTGCCTTACGGGCAGGTCATGGCTGGGGAGGGTTGTACTTGTGTGAGCTCACACTTTGTGGAGAAGACAAACCTAAATCACAAAAGATCATTCTGTACCTATTTATCCACAGCCTCACTCAGTACTCTGTAGAAATAACAATACTTTGTTATGTGTGAAGTGTGTGAACAAGTAAAATGTTCCCTTAACAAAAATCATGTTCTCAGGACTACTTCTTTGCATGATACCTGGGTCAGGTTGGAATGGCTTCTTTTCTTGAAATAACAAAAATTAGCAGGTCTCCTTCCCCCCCACCTCCTGCCTATCTTTTAAAGTTGACAAATGGCTTAAAGTTAATAAACCTTTCTTTAATGTTAATTTGCAAAGAAAATCTTGAAAGAACAATGTTAAGAGCAAATCAGCTAAATTATCTGAAAATCTCAGAGCATATTTTTGTCATTGTTTCCATTTTTAAGACAGTATATATGCTAGGAAGATGTGTTCTTCATCTTTCAGTCTGTAGCTTCAGTGTAAAAATACACTTTTCTTTAGAAAAGCCTTAACTCTGTAAATGCAATGAAATGAGGTCAAAAAAATGAAAGACCAACTCCTGAGAAGTGAGCCTGGTGTTGGTCTTACTCAAAGGTGGGTTTATAGAAATAGCTATATGAATACATCTTGTGTTTTATTTCATGGAATAATGTTTAATTGGGACAAGGGATAGAAAAAAAACTTCATCTATTTCATACAACAGAGAGTACAGAAAATGCACCAAGAGCAAGATAGCTCATTGGTCCCATTACAAATTCACCTAGAAAACAACATCACAGAAAACACTAGTCACTACCATAAAACCAGAGTTGCACTGTTTTTTTTTTTTCTTCTTCTTCCTTTCTGCATAAAACTAGAAATTCATTACAGGTTGGCAGCTTGAAGATAGGGATGTTTTGTATTTTCCTAAGTCAGGGAGGCATGGGGCTTTCTAAAAGAATTTTATTTTAAAAATAGAAGTGACAAGACACTTTCTCATCTCGAGTATATTACGGTATTTTGAACAGGATAAAATAGATACCTCCTACAAACTTTTTTTCCTATGGAGACAAGGCTCAGTTAAGTGGGCAGATGTTCTCAAGAGTTATTTTAATAAAATCCTATTTCTGCGTCCTCTGTCTCAGCTCAAAGCCCAGCTCAGTAGGCATTCAACGCTTGAACTTCTGGGCTTTTTAATCACCTTATTCACTGGTGGGTGAAACCCTCAGTTCGTTCTCACCCTCGCTATGAGTTCCTTAGTCAGTCTTTAACACATAAAGGAATTTGAAATTTTTATTATGGCTACTAGGGTGGCGCTCATTAAGACTCTTTTCTGAAAGAGCATTTGCTGTTAAGTAAGTACGTCTCTAACACTTGGAGGGCCCCTCTTTCAATGTATTCTTCACTCAAATGTGAAAATGTTTTTTTTTTTTTTTGGCAAATAGAAATATTTTAAATTTCAAGACAGGTTGCTCTTTTAAGGAACCTGTTGTGACTCTGTCTTCAGAAAAATCACTCCATATTTTCCAGTAAAATGAAAGAAAACTGGTAAATAATTCCACAAGAGCTTGATCATACATGCTTTCTTCTTTTGTTTAAATAAATTGAAAGCCTTAAACAGAATACTATGAAAGTCTTTTATTTTTCTGTAGTTAAGAATTGGCATAGTTTTTGGTGATGAATGCCTGAATCTTTTTTTCCCCTCAAGCTCCTCTTCTAGCTTTGGCATCAGAATGATCTTAGGACCCCATGAGGCCAGTGAGGCAGTATTAGCATTTCTCTGCTGTGAAGTTGACATAGAATGAATCAGATGATTTCCTCTGTAGGGAAATTTCTCGCTTTACACCTCAAGTGGTCTCCTTCAGACTCCTTTCTGTCCCAAATTGTTTTCTATCCCCTGCCGGACTAGCTTTCCCAGGCACACAGTTTTCCCTGCCTTATTGCTCCCCCTTGTTCAGAAACTTTCCATGGCTCCCTACCCCTTGGGGAATCCAGTCTAATCTGGAATGGGCATTGAGAGCCATTGAAGGTTGCTTCTCAGACCACCCACCTTGCTCAGCTGGGTCTCCTGGCTTCCAGGTAGGTCACTCCCTGACCCAACGCACCGCGTGCCTTCCCTGGGGCAGATCACTCGTCAGCTGCCTGGGCTTCTGTGGAATCCTCCATGTAGCCCTGGCCCCTGTCAGGAGTACATAGGTGCCCACTGCTGAGTGGCAGAGAATCTGCCTAAGGGAACGGTTTTAAAGATTAAAAAAAAAGTATTTTAAATTCAGCTGTAACTCTGGGTAAATATAACTAAGCTCTGTCAACATTTATATAACTTCCGCAGTCCTGCAGATGGAATTTTAAATTGAGGGTTGGGAACCATGTCTTATTTATCTTTATATCTACTTGGGATTGGCCTAAGGTATTCAGAAGATAATGAAGGACTTTGAATCTGGTCAAACTCTATGTAGCATATGTTAATCTAACTATTATTATAAGTTGTGGTACAGCAGAAAGACTTGTCGATGCAGAGGAAGAAGTCTAGATTCTAGTACCTCCTCCCTCATTTTACTCACTTTGTGGAAAGCTCTTGTTTTTTATTTCTGGCCATCTGCCCCCTCTTCCTGCTTCTGAAGGTTGTTGAGATAATCGAAAGAGGAACAGTATGTAAAAGGGCCTTGAAAACAACAAAGCTCCATAGAGTGTTGAGGTGGGATTGTTGTAATATCAGTGACTGAAAAGAATATGGCTTTCTCAGACTTCACCCAGCTGTCTCCATCCATCCACTCAAGTTCAGTGGCACTCTCTGACAAAATAAATAACCCATTTAGCTATATTCCTTTCTCAGTGCTGGCACCTTCTGACTTAAATAGCTTATGGTTTTTCTAGATCACAGTTCTAACTCATTGAGGTATGACTGGTTTTGATGGGACTATAATCAGATAGAAGCACAGTATTTGGCCGGAATCAGGAATGGTGGTTTTCATGGGGAGTAGACACAATGTCTAGCCACTTCAGCTGATAATGAAATGGTCTGGTGCCCTAACCGCGCCATATTGCATTGGCCTGACAGCAGCAGAGTTTTTAATGTTGCTTGCTATGTTCCCTGCTTTTGTTACTGCCTCTACACCTCTAGTTGTTTCTCCTACAGATCTCTGGTGTGAGGGAGGAGTGTGACTTTCAGGGTTGATGGAGGGGGTCTAGCATTAGAATGCCTCTGTCAAAGGGCCTCAGTTTTCTCTCTTCTACAAAATGCAGGAAATACATTTAGTGGGGTGCCTGACCCTCCAGAAAAAATAGCTATTAGGAATTCTCAAGACTTGTTTGATATGGTAGGCACTGGTAGTTGGAATCAAATCCACTGGGGTATTTTATTTTATTTTTTTTAACAAAGTGCTGTCATTTCAACAGAAAAACAGGGCTCAACGACCCTTCCCCCTTAATCTACACACCCTACCCACAGCCCCAGATCTCTGACCTATACCGCTTGTGAGCACACCATAAAAAATGAATCCCAATCCCTTTGTCCTTTGACTCTGTGGGAATACCCAGGCAAGTTGGTAGAGTTTCCTTAATGTGTCTTCATCTGCCTCCAAACCCAGAAAATTTTCTGCTTCCTCATCTTATTGGCAGATGGCAGCAGAGGTGATGGGACAAGGGGGAAAGGCAATTCACAGGTGAGATCATGAGTCTAGAGTGAGGGCAAGTAAGGGAGCGCCATGCTCTTCCACCTTCACTTGGCTTCTGGTTGTTGAATTCAAGGGGTTACTCACCACTTGCTGGAACGGCATGGAGAGGTGAGGGACTCTGTGATGGAAATGTTGACAGTTTTGGCTTGCGCCCCGACAACAGACAGCATCAAATCTAACAACTTGGCCAGGTTTGTGTCCACCACGGGAGCCTACAAAATGATGACCACAGCAATAGCTAACATTTTCTGACAACCTAGAGCCAGGCCCCTGGTTAGCAGGGAGTTTGATATGGATTAGCTTTATCCTCTTGACATCTGTGGCGAGGTTCTATTTTTATCCCCGATTTACAGATGAAGAAATTGAGGCCAAGAGGAGTTAAATAACAAGTCGAAGGTCATTGGAAAAAAAAAGTAGCACGGCCAAGTTCAAATCCAGGCGTGCTGCAAAGCTTGGCATCTCACTCTTATCTAAAGCATAATTCTTTAAATTTACTTACTGTGAAATAGTTCTTACTAACAATCTTTGAAGTCAGTATATTGATCCGTATGAGCTTTATGTTGTCCATAGTTGGAGGAAGCAACTGTATCACAAACATTATGTGGCCTTTGTCTTACAGCTTCCATCGTGATTCAGAAATGGTGGTGTCACATGAATCCTTGCTTGGAAGGAGAGGATTGTAAAGTGCTGCCAGATTACTCAGGTTGGTCCTGTAGCAGTGGCAATAAAGTCAAAACTACAAAGGCAAGTATAGACACACGCAATTCTCCTTTACAATGTCCACAGATTATTAGCTATGCGGTTTTCCCCTCTTCCTTTTATCCTGGCACCACGACATTATTTTATGTTGAGCCACCCTATTACTTTGGCCTTTTGGGAAAAGCCCATTTCCAAGTATTGCCCTTTATGTCCGATTTTACAGAGCAGTGATTTGGGGGATGAACTTGTTATTTTAGGCAGGGCCATGAAATTCATTACAGCTCCTTCAAGAGCCCAGTTTAAAATAAAGGGATTGGAGTTGGCAGGCCAGCATATCAAAACAGCACGGCGAGATTCCACACACAGTTGACTTGCTGAGGGAGGCATACTTCCTGGGAGGAGTTTTAATAAATTCAAGGTGTCACAAGTCAAGAGTTGCCTGCCCCCAGTGATCCTCTGTCCAGGCCACCCCGTCCCAGAAGTGTACCGCCATCCACCTAGTTCTTGAGCCAGAAATCTCTCTGCCTTAATGTCCCCATGTCCCATCTGTTATTGGTCCTTGGGATTGTTCCTCCCAACTCCCTCCTTGGTGTGTGTCACCATCCTTACAACAGGGGTCCTGTCCCAACCATGTCCCGTCTGGAGGACTGAGTTGCTGCCTCATTCTCCACATGATGACTCCCATCACTTTTGTGAAATGAGATCTTCTAAGCTAGTCTGTCTCTCTTGCTCCACTGGTCTTGCCAGTCTGGTGCTTCACAAAGGGAAGTGGCTTGCTGGGTTATTTACTCTTTTTTTTTCCCCCCTGGTTCAGCCTTCTGTTGGTACCTCTTACCGTGGTGCCTTTGTGGTTGCAAAGGAAGGTGTTCTTCATGGAATGTGCTTCCCTCCTTTCTTTTCTACTTCACCATTATTTCTTCAGAGTCCATCACTGATTGGATTTGTGTCTCCTGTATCTCTGAACATTGATTCTGGTTCTACTTTACATGGCAGGGTGTCCTGAGGGGCTTAGCACCTAGAGCTTTCTCTCTAGAAGAGACCTGTGAGGTCAGGCCCCATGTTTGTAGTGACCTTGATAGTCCCATAATAAAAGATTACATTTAGAACAAATGGTAACATTTTACAGAAAACTGTAAATGTAAATTTTACCTGACATCAGTACCAATACAAAATTAATAGTACAGTAAGTCAGACGATTAGTTACCTGGTTAAAATCATGATTTCAAACTCAAAACTATTTAACATTAATTGTAAACTTTTTTGTAAGTAATATAAAGATGACTAGGATAAATAACCTGATACAGGCATATCTCATTTTATTGTGCTTTGCATAGACTGTTTTGTTTTTTTTGTTTTACAACTTGAAGGTTTGTGGCAACCCTGTGTCAAGCAAGTGTATTGGCATCATTTGCATTGGCTCATTTAGTGTTTCTGTGTCACATTTTGGTAATTCTTGCAATATTTCAAACCTTTTCATTACTTGTTATGGTTATCAGCGATCTTTGATGGTACTATTATAATTTTAGGGTGGCAGCCCTGTAACACGGCAAACTGAATATGCACACCTATGTGTTCTATTCCCCTGTCTATCTTCCTCTCCTGGGCCTCCTTATTCCCCGAGATACAACAATATTGAAATGAGGCCCATTAACAAACCTACACGGGCCTGTAAGTGTTCCAGTGAAAGGAAGAATCACATGTCTCTCACTTTAAGTCAAAAGCTAGAAATGATTAAGCTTAGTCAGGAGGCCTTGTTCAAAAGTCGAGATAGACCCAGATCTAGGCCTCTTGCACCAAATGATTAGCCAAGCTGTGAATGCAAAGGAAAAAGCCATGAAGGAAATCTTAAAATACTCCAGTGAACACACAAATGATAGGAAAGGGAAACAGCCTTTTTTTGCCCATATGAAGAATGTTTGAGTGGTCTGGATAAAAGATCAACCCAGCCACAACATTCCCTTAAACCAAAGCCTGATCCAGAATACGGCCCTAACTCTCTTCAGTTCTATGAACATACAGAAGAACAGTTTGAAGCTAGCAGGGTTCCTGAGGTTTAACAAAGAAGGTATGTCCATAACATACAAGTGCAAGGTGAAGCACCAAGTGCTGATGTGGAAGCTGCAGCAAACTGGGTAAAATAAAGAAGGTGGCTACTCCAAACAACAGATTTTCGCTGTAGACAAAACAGCCTCCTAAGGGAAGAAGATGCTATCCGTGACTTTCATAGCTAGAGAGGAGAAGTCAATGCCTGGCATCAAAGCTTCGAAGTACAGGCTGACTCTTGTGAGGGGTTAATGCACCTGGTGACCTTAGGCTGCAGACAATACTCAGTTACCATTTCAAAAATCCTAGAGGCCTTAAGAATTAGACCAAATCTACTCTGTGCTCTAGAAATGCAACAAAGCTTAGATGTCAGTGTATCTGTTTACAGCTTGGTTTGCTGAATATTTAAAACCCACTATTGAGACTTATTCCTTATAAAAAGATTCCTTTCTAAATATTACCACTCAGTGACAATGGACCTGGTCCCCCAGAAGCTCTGATGGAGATGAATGTTGATTAATGTTTTCATGGCTGCTAACATGACTCCTTGATCCAAGGGCTGCAGAATGGATGTCATTTAGTCTTTCTTATTATTTAAGAAGTGCATTTTATAAGGCTACAACTGCCACAGATGGATCTGGGCATGCTAGATGCCATCAAGAACATCGCTGATTCATGGGAAGAGGTCAAAATTAACAGGCGTTTGGAAGAAGTTGATTTTAACATGCATGGACAACTCTGAGGGGTTCAAGGCTTCAGTGGGAAGTCACTGGGGATGTGGTGGGAATAAAGTGCTGCCATCTCATGAGAAACATAATAGATGAGGAAGCACTTCTTATGGACGAGCAAAGAAAGTGTTTTTTTGTGATGGCATCTACTCCTGGTGAAGATACTGTGAAGATGGTTGACATGACAACCAAGGATTTAGAATCTTCCATCAACTTAGTTGATAAGCAGTAGCAGGGCTTGAGAGGATTGTCTCCCAGTTTGAAAGAAGTTCTGCGAATAAAATGCTATCAGCAACATGGCATGCTATAGAGAAGTCGTTCATGAAAGGAAGAGTCAGTCAGTGTGGCAGGCCAGATGGTCTTGTTAAAAGAAATTGCCATAGCCACCACCACCCTGATTTGTCAGCAGCCATCAACATCAAGGCAAGACCCTCCACCAGGAAAAAGATCAGGACTGGATGCAAGCTCAGATGAGGGTTAGCATTTTTTCTGTGTGCTTTTAAATTAAGCCATGTACATTTTTGTTTAGACAAAATGTTATCGCACACTTAAAAGTACAGCACAGTATAAACATAACTGTTATGGGCCCTGGGAAACCAAAAAATTACTCTGGCATGCTTTATTATGATACTCATTGTGATATTTGCTTTATGGCAATACCTGCTTTACTGGGGTGGTCTGGACCCAAACCTGCAGTCCTCTGAGTTATGCCCGTATATGCTCTTATATCCAGAGCAATGGAAGTTTGTGGAGTCCTTTGCTGGTGGAGGAAGGAGGTTAACGCTCCCATCATTTCTATCAAGTCCGCTTCAGAGCTGCTCCAAATTAACTTCCAATCTATGTAAACCCAAGTGTGCTTGCTAAGCAAACTCTGCCTTAAAGTAATTCCACTCTCCTTTCCCCACTGGCCCCTTTTAGCCCTTTTTTCCCTATCCCCTTCCTGAGTAAAAATCTTGGGGCTGCCAACAAGCTGGGGTCTTACATCCATCAATGATAAAAATTTCCTTTTATCCTATTGCTTGTAGACTAACAGTCGGAAGATTATACTTGTATTGATCCTTATATATAAATATAAAATAAGCCATGAGCACAAGCCAACTGTGTTCTGGAAAAGAATGTGTCTAAGTAGTCTCTTGCTGGAGCAGCTCCCTCTCTATTTATGTGCAGTTAGAGAGAGCATTTGCAGGAAGCAAACCTTTAGGGGCATTTTGGCTCTCTGTGCTGGGAATATAAGTTTGCTCTAGCTAAATCCTCCACGGTAGTGACATTTCATTCGGCACTTTTTAAAGTTATAGAAACACAATACAGTTCCCTAAGCCATAATGATACTTAGCTGCTTTTTTTTTTTTTTTTTAGTGATATGCCACTTGAGAATAATCTCAAAGTAGTAAAACTTTGTTTCCTTTATTAATCCAAGTCACTGTGACTTGAACTGCATAAAACATTTTATGTCTTTTATGGATCTTATGAACAGAGTAAATTCATTTGTAGAGGTGCAGCTGGCTTCCTGGAAGAGCTTAGTACCCTCAGAAGCTGTGTCTTTTTCTTAAAATAGACAGCAACCTTATACCACAAGTATGACAGAGGTCCTACAGAGGTAAAAACCATTGCAGCCCTAGAGGGGGTATTAACTATATAACAAAGTAGTTTTCATTTTCCTTAAACAGTTCATGTATAGCAACATCAAAACATGGAAATGTTGAAAAAAGATAATCCTGCAGTAAGCCACCTATGTCAGAATTTTGTTTTCCATTTAAATGCAAATATGAGAAGAGTAAGCAGTCAAGCTGAGATATTAACAGACTTAGATGAAGATATGACAACGAGGGGGACCGTTTTCAAGCCAGTCATCCTGTCTTTTCCAGGGGTAAAAGGGTAGCTGTGAGTTTATTCTTCCTCTACAGTTTCCAGTGTTTCCAGAGAGAACTTCAGCTACTAGTTCTCATGGAGAACTACAACTCTCATTGTCATCCTGCCTCAGTTTTCCTTTACATTTCAGTTGTTCATATTAAAGCTCCTAACAACTGCACGATGTTGTTTTATCACCACAGTGAACCACTGGCCAGGGCTGTTTTTTGTTTGAGAATGGAAGTAAATCATAGTGAATTTCAAGAAATTTTAGGTTTGTCATGTTTTTGTTTTTCCAACATCTAAGGGTGAAGAGCTATGTATCTTAGGAGCTGTAGTTCTCAACCAGGGGTAATTTTCCATCAAGGGGATATTTTTAGTTGCCACACGTTGGGGAGTGGGGGGATATATGGACATTTTGGGGGGAGATACCAGACAGGCTGCTAAAAATCTTAAAATGCACAGGAGGGCCCCCCCATAGCAAAGAATTATCTGGCTCCAAATGTAAATAGTGTTGGGGTTGAAAAAAATCTGCCTTAGAGAATTTTTTTTTTTTTTTGGTAGCTGTTTGTAAGCATCTTATTTGATTCTCTTACTTCATGTAGCTCTTCAAAGTTTCCACTTAGTATCTACATGTTTCCAATATTTCATATTAGAAAACTAGGGCACCTGGGTGGCTCAGTTGGTTGGGCGACTGCCTTCGGCTCAGGTCATGATCCTGGAGTCCCGGGATCGAGTCCCACATCGGGCTCCCTGCTCAGCAGGGAGTCTGCTTCTCCCTCTGACCCTCTTCCCTCTCGTGCTCTCTATCTCTCATTCTCTCTCTCAAATAAATAAAATCTTAAAAAAAAAAAAAACTAGAGACAGGAGTTAATGTAAACAACAGGTTTTCTTTGCAACACCTCTCACCCTCAAGATCTAAGATGACCCAGTCCTTACAGTATCTTCCTCGGAACATGCTCTAAATGGTAACTTTCCCTCTGTTTCTTAGGCTACCACCATGAAGCATCCTCATTCTCTCTTGACCAAATATTATAATTATTTAATGGTAACAGTGGCTGCAGGAAACTTATCATGGGAACGTGTATCCACCGTTTTGAGCCCCACCCCTAGGATATTCTTGTATAGTAAGTCTGGGAAGGGGTTTAGGAAACCATTCTCAAAAATTTGTTCTTATGTTGATTCTCGTTTAACCAGGCTCTGTACCTGCTCTGTTTTTGCCTTTATTTCCCTGCCTAGATTTCTCCTTGGTGAGAGACCACCAATGGATTCCCACGGGTAACAGAAAATAGAGTATAAGCACCTTGAGCTGAGCCATCAATATCACTCACCCAATAGACCATGTATTTCCATATCCCACTGCTGCCTTCTTCGTCTGTTCCCTTTTATAAAACTCTACTTGTCTTTTAAGGTTCAACTGAGACGTATCCTTTACCCAGAAGTCTTGTCTTTCTTGATCCCTAGGGCCAGAGCTTGAAATACTCAGAGTACCCTGTCATGTGAGAGTGGAGCTAGTATTGGTAATCAGCAACCTTATGTCCGCCAAATTCCAAAGCAACAATGCACCCTCCATATACAGTTAGCAAAATGAAAATTTGACAGGAAAATAAATCCTAAAGAATCTTACCATTCAACTTTAATGGAGAGCAACTCCCAAACGAGCTGGGCATGCAAAGCTTCCTTAAATAAGAGGCTGTTGAGAATTACATCCTAGATATAGGTTGCTACCTGGCTGTGAACACTGTTAACTTATATGCATAGATGCATGGCAGATCCAGGAGGAGCTGACGGGATAAGAGCTAAGCTTTCCTGCGTGTCAACCACACGCCAAGCCCTGGGCCATGCCATTCACATCTCACTCACCCTTCAGTACAACTGAAGGGAGCAGGCGCTAATTTAACATTTAGCAGCTGAAGAAGCTCAAGCAGTGATAGTTCTCCCCATCTTAGAAAATTACCATCTCCATTATCTCGGTATTTGAGATCAAGACTTTGCTTGAATCCTCATTCTCTCACATCCGTTGTCCTCATTTCACGAGTCCCGTTGGCCTCACCTTCCATCACTTTTACCAATGTGATCCCTTTAAGTTGGCAGTCTAGCCATGCATCCCTGGTCTCCTCTTTGTGCCCCAGATGGAAAAAGGTCAAAGTTCTTCTCCCGGGTAGTCAGTGCTCCCTTGTCTCCTTCAAGCAGCTCCTCAAATGACAGCCTCTCGAAATCCATAGAGCCCTAACTTCTCGGCCCTAGTATCTTTTTGTCCATAGCACCTATCACTTGCTGACATGTCGTTCCTTTGCCTGTTGGTCCCACTGTTTCCTCTACAATAGGAGTCACCAAGCTGTGGCTTGCAAGCCACACTCAGCTCTTGGCCTAGGTTTTGTGGTCTGTGAGCCAAGACCTGGCTATATGGTTTTAAAGGGTTGGGAGCAATCAAAAGGAAAAGAATGTTTCATAGCGTGAAAATTACACGAAATCCCAATTTCAGTGTCTACAACCAGAGTTTTATTGGAATAAAACAATGTCCATTAGTTTACATGCCGAATTGTCTATGCTTCTTTTGTTCTATAAAGGCTGAGTTAAGTAGTAGTGACAGTAACTGTATGGCCTGCAATGCTGAACAAATTTCTATCTGGTCCTTTATCTAGAATAAGGCTAGCATACTTGTTCTATAAACTCCACGAGGACAGGGTTTTTGTTGTGTTTGCTATAGTATTTCCCTCACAAACAAAAGAGCAACTATATTGTAGAAAATCTAAAATAAAGGCTATATGTCAGTTAATAGCAAATCTGAGGTTTGACTAAATACTTGATTGGGTCTAAAGGCCAGGAATGATGACTTTTTCATGCTGTGGGCCTGTTAAAGTCTCAAGCTTTTGGGTTTTTCCCCCTTCTAGCTTGTGTATGGATTATCTAACCTGTAAAATACCTTACACTTTACCTGACCAAATAAAACTCAAGAAACTGCTAATCTTTTTTCTTATAAGTATTTAAAAATAGAGAAAACAATAGTATACTTCTTAATGAATGTTTCTAGTAATTATGGCAGTTTTCTAAAAGAACCTATTTATTTCTTTTATTAAGGATTTATTTATTTGAGAGAGCGTGCAACGAGAGAGAGAGAGTCGGGGCGGGGCAGAAGGAGTGGGAAAGAATCTCAAGCAGATTC